TTTTAAATCGATTAATTTCGATTAATTATAACGCACATACAGATCCAACTACATTGGCCTATACACATACAGCACAGCAATGAAGTAATAAAATGAACTAGGATCACACTAATCCCGCACGTTATTAATCTCACGTGCCCCACTCAATATGGCCGCCGCTTGAGTGGGGCAACTCAGAATAATAACGTGCTGGATTAGTGTGATCCTAGTTCATTGTATTACTTCATTGCTGTGCTGTATGTGTATAGGCCAATGCCTTGGCTGGCGCTCGTGCAGAAAGTTTCTTGGGCAAACTCACCAGCCCAAGGGGCTCTGTCGGCTAAGAAGGGGGGGGGAGTCCAGTTACGTCACACACATCGACGTCACCAGACTCATCGCCGACTGGACTCCTGGAAGCCGGCGGAGAGGTGAGTGTTTTCATTAGCGATCAAAATAATTTTAATCGATCAAAAAGTTTAACGATTAATCGAGAAATGAATCTTTAATTTTCACAGCCCTACTATATCTATCTATCTATCTATCTATCTATCTATATATAGATATTCCTTTTTTGGGGGGAAGGGGGGGTGACTACCATGTCCCATTTATGAGATTTCCCATCAATTCCTCACCTCTAGACACAGCAGGAAGTGAGAGCAAATTGCTTCAAAGTGAGGTAACTCGCTTAGACTGCGGTTACAGGAACAGATGTCCCCATTCGAAGACTTCCCCATTATTCTTCTTGTGGCGACAACTAGAAATGTTGACATTTTCCCATACTTCCAATCCCAATGACAATGGTCACCAGGATAAATAGAGCGGATCTCCCTAGCAGACACCAATAAAAAAAAAGCATAATAGGGGTTCTAATCCTTCCACACACTATCCAAAACTTTAGCCTTTAGGTAAACATTAGGCTACCCATTTTGGATTGAGGTCAGACTGCGATTGGCAGTTCCCGCCAAAAGTGATGTTTGAGTTTAGAAGGGAACTGTTGGTTGAATGTTGGGATGGTTATTTTTTATGGTTCATTTATCGGTCAAGATTTTTCTCTGTCCCCCACACACACCATTCCAGGCTGCAACAGCGATTTAGCTAGATTTTAATATACAAATCTGCATAATGTATCAATGCTTTGTACGCCACTAAAAAACACCTCAACGATTTGTTTAATATAGACCAAGGGTAGGCATCCTTGGCTGCAGTGAAACTACAAAGCCTTTGGGTGTCATGGCTGTCAGAATCTTGCAGTGCCTCATGAGATTTGTAGTTTAACTACAGCTGGAGTGCCGAGGTTGCCTTCCCGTGTTTTACACTATGGAAAACACTGACTTCAAAAACCAAGTAAAATAAAATGGAGCCAAAAGCATTAAAATATTATACATTTCCTTTAAGCCTGCTGTTGTCTCCACACTCCCATATGCCAGTAATATAAAATAAGTTTATATGGGCTAGAATTCCTCCAGCTATTTATTATAAGTTCTCTTGTTCTGTTAAAGTAACACGGGTGCAAGAAGCCCTATCCATTTGGCAGAATCTAGCATTACATCTCTATTTAGCTTGCCATCCTATGTTATCTATGTAGTAATTCAGACTCTGGTGTAAATAATTAAAGGGTCACTAAGCCTAAAGCTTTGCATGATGGAATCTGAGTTATTTGTTTAGCTGTGTAAGCGTAAAATTTGTGTGCCATGTTTTCAGTTGTACAGGCAGTCCCCGGGTTACGAACAAGATAGGGACTGTAGGTTTGTTCTTAAGTTACATTTGTATGTAAGTTGGAACAGACAATTTTGTTTTGGGTAGCACAGGGAAGGGTTAACCCCCTGTAAAGTTTGTTTTGCTGTGTGTGCACCTGTTCAGAGGACAGTGTCAGCACCAATTCAGAGATGATTTGAGGATCTACAGCAGAGTGATACACAAATAAGATACATTTTGTTGATAGGGGACTTAAATGTATTTTTAGGATTTAACTCCTGAGTTTAGTGTTACTTTAAATATAATGCATTGTATTCATTTTTGAGCATCAAGCGTGATAGAGGGTGGAATGGTTTTTGGAAAAAGGAATTCATCATAATAATACCCGTACACTTTGGCATTGTGCATGGTCACAGCTTTTCAGGTATAATACCCTTACAGAGGTCTCACTGTTTGTTTTTCTCACTCTGCAGCTTGAGCATGTCAAGGCAGCACAAACGGAACTGGTGCGGGAATCCATCAAGAGGAAACAGGAGACTAGTGACCTGCTCCGATGCCAGGAGGAGCTTCAAGATAGACTCAACGAGGAGGCCAAAGCTAGAGAACACTTGGCTCTGGAACTGAGCAAAGCTGAAGGTGAGCACAGCATCTGAAATATGGAAGAAAACATAGACGACTCCTGTGAACGTTTTCAGGTGTTGATGTTGTAAAATTGGTATATGTCATAGTATCGTTGCAATTCTGGGAAATGTGTAGCCACATGTTTATAAATTCCTTTTAAGAAGATGCTGATTACTGTTTATGGAACCATCTCTACGTCCAGGTTCAGGCTATAGACCTGTGGAGTTGGGTTTGCACTGGTTTCCTGCAGAACGAAACAAATTAGATGCACTAGCCCAAGTCTGTCATGTGGTACCTCCGTAGGACAGTTTGGGATCAGGGTTTGATTTCTCTTTAAGAAGATGCTGATTACTGTTTATGGAACCTTCAGGTTCACTGCGGGTTAGAGTCCTGACGACTTGGTTCCCTGCAGCCTAGAACAATCTGTGCCAAGGTTCAGTTGTTGCACAGTACCCCTACAGGGCAGTTTGGGTTCAGGGCTTGGTTTCTATACACTTAAAAGTGTAGAGCCTGAAGGGAAGCTATGCACTGTGCTCATGTTAGTTCAGGTTTCAAGTTGGCATCAGTCTTTCAGGAGTCTGACGTAAGGGTTTTTATATCAGGTATGTTTCATCACTTTACTGTTCTTCTGTATAGTACAGCAGAGTTTTGTGACATTTACATCTCTCGCTCTCTCTCTAACAACATGGCAGCTTTAAAAGCAGGTTTTGCATAGGGCTGCAATTACAAAATGTGCAGGCTCAGTCATAATAGAGTATAAAGAGCTTCCAAAGAAAGCTGCAGATTACCGCTACAGATCCGCAGGCCTTTATTGCTGGGCTTCTTAATTTAAACAGTGCTAAGGTCTTTCAGGATCACATTATATGACTACATCAATATATCTTTAGCCAGATTACATCTTAAGAAGTGATTGTATAAATGGCATAGCAGATAAGAATGGATCTCTTTGCTGTGTCACCTATATTAGTGGTTCACAGGTTACAAGGTTGGTCCATGCCAAATCAATATATCTAAGCAGCTAGGAACTCCAGGTGGGAGATGCCACTGAACAACCTCAGCCAGTTTAGAAAGACAGGGCTTCTTACCTTTCAAAAATATCCACTCAAACCTGAAGTGATGATCAGGATGTCTGTGGGCACTTCACACCTCAGCTGAAACTTCTGACCTACTTTGGCGGAAACGTTTGTTTGTTGAGTTATACCATTCCGGTAGATGGACTGCTGTCTCCCCTGAAAAAACAGTAGCAATTGGCAAGGCAAATCTCCTCCAACCAATCAACATTTACCTTGAGATCAGGTTTATTGGCATTTTTAAACCAAACCCATACCGCTCCACATAACAGGAGCATGGCGGCAGACTGGATCATCTGGCTCTCCTTTAAGACTGCAGGGTAAGGAGTGGCAAAAATCAAAGGAGATTGTGGTTGGAGAATGAAAGGTGTTGATATTATAATGTTTATCTGTACAAGAGTACAAACAAATGTGTGTTGTCTGATATCTGAACAATCCTGGGAGTGTCCGCTCTCTCTGTGTACAGCACTAAGCAAAATCCAAATAGGATCCATTGAGTTTTCTCCTCTAGTTTCTTGAGCGGACCAAGGACCAGCAAATGTCTCACCAGGAGAGACCTCTGGAGAGACCTCTTACTGTCCTCGAATGAGAGGGTACTTATATACCCCTTCAGAGGTGAATTTATATTATATTCCTCTATTTATGTTACACAGAATACATAGAACTATTTGTTTTGGTCCCTGTCCACCATTGGCACTCAGTGTTTTATCCCTACAAACATTGGGGCCCGTTTAAAAGATAACTATAGCCAATTTTGTTTTGGGTCACAGGAGGACATTTACTAATTTACTTCTGTGACCCAAAGTCAGCATATAACATGCATTTTGCCCACTCTATGCTGACCGCACAGAGCCGCGCTGCATCCGGGAAAGATCCTGACAGTATTGCCAGGATCTACCCCGCTGCCTGATTGACAGCTGGCTCTGCCTCTCTAGAGCCAAAGCCAGCCGTGCCCGCCCCCTCCCCTGTTTTTCCCTCCAATGAGCACTGAAGGATCAGAGAGAGGGGAGGGGCAATCTCTGCAGGAAGAAGCCGTGAGCTTTGTGACTGCTCAGCTCTCGAGCTATAGAGCCGAAATGTGACAGTTGCAGTGTCACACGCCAGCCTTAACTTTTGGGAAGAATACATTTTACTCTCCCAATATTTCTCCTTATGTGAAACATTATTTAACCTTCCAGTATGTTTTTTGGGTTGTGGGAAGAAACTGGAGCTACTGGTAGAAACTCACACAAGTATGGCAAGATAATACAAGCTTCATACAAAGAGTAGCCTGGGTGGTATTTTAACATTAGTAGCTACAAGGCAACAGTGGTACCCATTGTACTGCCCCATGGCATATGTTTGCATATATTTTGTTAGGGTTTGGGGAAAATCATAGTAGAGATCTTTATGGTTGGTTATAAGCTGTCCTCAGTACTTTGTGAGCATTCCAATATGTACCATTTCCTATTACTCTGACAAAAGGTCAAGGTGGTATTGATCCCTCTGCATTGCTGGCATGCCTTTGTCAAGTTCTCTATAAAGGAAGCATGTCTAGCCTTGGCCAGAGGCTTTCCAGAGTAATATGTTCTCTGCTTACTAATATGAAGTGCATTCCCTGCATTTTATTTTTCTCTTACTCTATCGTCCTCTCTCTCTTTCTCGCTCTCCCTTTCTCTCTTTATATCAGTATCTTTCTCTTCTCTCCCTCTATCTTCCTTCCTTCCTTCTCTATTTCTCTGTATTTCTCTCTCTCTCTCCTTTCTTACTTTCTCACCAAGGGGTCTAGGAGACCCCTGATGTCTCCATAAAGAGGACCTGTCATGTAAATTGACTATTACATAGGGGGCTTCTTAGCCCCCCATGTAATAGCAATAAAGCTGTGTGTAAAAAAAAAAAGTAATACTAAAATTAAAGAATCATTAAAAAAATAAAGCATGAAAAAAGAAAACATTTTTAAAGTCCCGCCGCCCACATACACACGCAGATATGAGTCTGGTGCGCCTACGTGCGAAAAGGACGATTGCGCCTATTGTGCCGCACATGTTAAATATCGCCGCAAACGTCGGAGTGAGAGCAATAATTTTAGAGCCATTAATCACTGATAATGCTAATCTGATGAGCAGTAAAAGCGTTTTAATCGTCGCCTATGGGCGTGTTTTGCGATTTTGCGGGCGCACGCAATTTTAAGGCTTGACATGTTTGTCTATTTACCCGACGTGACACCGAATTTTATGTTTTACTAAAAATATGGGTAAGAATAAATGTTTTATAACATAACGTAGGAAAACATTTTTGTTTTTTACATTTATGGTACTTTTTTTCATTATATAGTTAAAAAAAAATAACATTCCCCCTAAGTGGTGATTATATACTTCCAAAAGAAAGCTTTATCTGTCCCCAAAAATGTTTTACATAAATTGCAAGGCTATAAATCGGTCTCTTTTCTCTTCTCTCTATCTCCCCCTTTCTCCTTATCTACCTCCGTTTCTCTTTCTCTCTCTCTCTCACCCCTGCTCTCTCTCTCTTCGTCTCTCTCTGTTAAACACAATGATGTAGATTACCAAGTGTGCAGTTTATTTCTCAGGAATGTTTTTGAATAGACAGACCTGTTCTATAGACGTGGCAGGGCATTTTTTTTGCTCAGACGCCTCTGCACATGTTGGAATTGGCTGCAGGGCTTTGCATGTGACAGAACGACGGAGCAGAGATCTCTATTTTTATTACACACCTGCCTGAAGCTTACAGTTACGATTTCTGAGATAGAAAAGATATTTTATAATTGATTTTATCATTTCATTGAGGTGTAAGTGAAAGTGCCTGGAGGAAGAATTGGTCTGGATATGAATAACAACTGATTGTGCCCTACCTTTCATTCTTCTGCATTGTACTAGAATTATGAAAAGGGCAATCTGATTGGTTGCTATGGGTACTGAGAGCAGAACTTTCAGCCAATGGGACTACAGATTTCACACCCCATTGAATAGAATTGGGTAACTTTGATAAAAAGTTATTCCAGTCAGCATGTATGGCATTCATGGCAGCCAGCCAGGGCCATAGCTAGGGCGAGGCGGCTGAGGCAAGTGCCTCGGTTGCAGGTGCGGGGGGAGAGCGCAGCCTGCAGCTTCTCCTTTGGATCCCCGCTGCTCTCCCCCGCTTGTATGGGCAGAGGCAGGGGGAAGCGAAGTGCTGAAGGTAGCGGAGAAGAGAGCTGTCACTTTGCGATGGCCAAGCAGTAAGGAGAGAGAGAGCCGCTCGGCCAGGATCTGACAGCCGGCGGCTCTTCACCGCTCGGCCAGGATCTGACAGCCAGCGGCTCTCTCGCTCTTCACCGCTCGGCCATCCTGGAATGACAGCGCTCACTCCCCCATTCCGTGTCCCCTCCCCCCAACCGGCTTCAGCGCTTCTTTTCTCCTCAGATCCCAGATGTCTCTGACCATACAGGTGGGGGAGAACAGCGGGGATCCAGAGGAGAAGCTGCAGGCTGCGCTGCCCCTCTGTGCGTGGCTGAACGGCAGAGCAAACACTGGAGCAATCAGCTGATCACTCCAGTGTTTGTAAATAACTGGGGCAAATAGTACTATGTGTCCCCAGTTATGAATGAACAGCAACTTCCTGTTCATTCATGAGTTTGTGTATGGATAGTAGCACTCTGTACAGAGGCTTCTCCCCATTCAGAAACTGGTTGATAGTAAATATTTTCTGAATGAATGGGAAGCCTCTGTACTAGAGTCTGCAGAAAAAGAGATTGATTGAGGACTCTGTGAACTCAATTTCTTTTTTAAAAGGGAAATATCAGGGGGCTGTTTAGACCCCCAATATTTCCCCAAAGCCCCCCAACAGTTTAAAAAAATCCTGGAGGCGGGGCGCATGACGCCACACATGCGTGGCGTTGGGTGACTTTACACGTGTGGGGGGGCCACATTTGTTTGTTCTTGCTTTGGGTGCCAAAAGAGCTAGCTACCG